CTGCTATCATAACTTGCATACTGTTTATAGTAAATGTTTTATGTAAGTAGGAGTGTACTCTAAAATAAATAACAAACACATAAACTAGTAATAGTAGTTTATTATTGTCAAGTACTGTGTACTATACATAATTGCATGTTTTATACTTTTATGTGACTGGCAAACACTGTAGATTGTTTACACCACCATCACCATAAATCTGAGTAATGTGTGCTGTGTCTCAATGGCTGTAGCTTCACTAAGCATTAGAAATTTTTCAGTCCTGTTCTAATCCTATGGGACCACCATATATACAGTTCATCACTGACTATATGTGAACTATATATTTAATTTATTGATATATATTTTAAAGTATTTTTTAATATTTTATTATTTTTATTTTATGCATATGAATGCATTGCCTGCATGTATATAAGTGCATACGTATCGTGTTGTACAATGCCCACAGAAGTCAGAGAGGGCATTGGATCCCCTGGAACTAGAGTTACAGATGGCTATTAGCTTCCATGTGGGTACTAGGAACCAAACCCAGGGTCTTCAAGAGAAGTCAGTGCTCTTAACCTCTGAGCCATCTCTCCAACCCCCTCAAAGTATTTTTTAAAAATTCACTATATCATCTTTTAGTTTGTAAGTTTTTAAATTATTTTTACTTCTAGTTTCCTTTTTTTGTTGTTTTTTGTTTTGGTGGGTTTTTTGTTTATTTGGTTTTGTTTTGTTTTGTTTTGAGTCAGGGTCTCACTGTGTAGCCCTGGCTAGCCTAGAACTTACTATGTAGACCATGTTGGCCTTGAACTTACAGAGATCTGCCTGCCTCTGCCTTCTGAGTGCTGGGGTTAAAGGCATGGACCACCACAACCATCATCCAATTTTCCTTTTAAAAATGGGGTACTGAAAGGGGCTGCATTAAGTCAGTCAAGTTGCCATTAAGAAACAGAAGGCATATACAAGCTAACTTTTCAGGGAGAGATACGAAAAAAGAATGCAGAGGAGAAGCAGAGTTTAGGAAAAGTCAACGAAAGATGGTGCAGTATCACAGGACCAAAGAGGGGGCTGTGACGTTTGTTAAAGAAAACCATAGTGAGCTTTATTAAAGCACTATAGAAGATTTTATTCAGGATCATTGCAGTAGGTACAAGGACCCTGACAATGGGGTTTTGCAGTAAAGAAGAGAGCTCAAATACAGCTCTGAGTATAATATGGGCAAGTTGGACTCCCACACCTAGATCTCCCACTGGTGTCTCCCATTGGCCACACCTTTCTAGAAGCAGGAGTGTGAAGAAACTCACTGAATTGGTGCCTATAGATCAGCTTCCAAGGGCACAAAAAGAGGGAGAAAAAAGTAGAGAGTGATCTTGAAGGGTAAATGAAAGCAATTCAGTACAGAAGGTTGTTGGGAGATGAGCCCATCTCCCAAACCAAGATTGTTTTGTTTTTTTTCTTCTTTTCAAGTACTTAATCTCCTTGGGAGTCCCCTAGTATTCAAAGGTCAAAAGGTATATTTGACCTTTTGAATTACTTGATCCCTTAATCAATCCATTAAAAAAAGCATACAGTTTTATACTAGAAACAAAAGATTTGTCAGGAACTTAGTTGAGAAAGAAACCTGAGCTTCCAGGTGCCATAGAAACTCAACAAACCAAAAATGAAAGGGTTAAGCCTTTAATCAGTTCCTGAAATAGTATAATCAACACTCTAACCTGGGGAAAGCACCTACTTCTCCATTCCATTTTGTTTTTGGTGGGTGGGGGGGGTAGATCTTGTTTTTAATTTGTTTTGCTTTATTTGAAACAAAAGCACTCTATAGCCCAGACTGTCCTGGAATTCACTTATGTAGCCCAGGCTGACCCCAATCTTGTGGCAATTCTCCTGCTTCAGCCTCCTGAGTGCTAGGATTACAGGCATAAGTCACCACACCCAGCTTCCCCACTCCACTTTTTCTCACTATGGTTGCAGGCCAAATGTATTGGCACAGATACAGGGATAATCTCACTGTTGAGTAAACCCCAGATAAAAAGCTTTGGTAGTTTGATCAGCTTGGGATTAGGGAAAACAAGGAAGGAAGGCTAGGAGTAGAGAAGTACTGAGTCAGAGTAGGGAAATGTGGATTCAAGTTTCCCCATTTTTCCCAGAAGTCCTTTGGCAGAAGTCCTTAATGAGAACCTAGCCCTGGGTCTCAAATAGAGACCCAGAAATAAAGGTGTTAAGAGCTAGGGACAACATAGTATTCCAGGGAGGCATGAGCCTTTGGTCATGTCCTTCAGAGACTGCGGTGAATTGGCGGTGCACCAAATCCAGGATGGGAAGGGCCTCTTCTCTCCCATGACCATCCCATGAAGCCTTCCAGGCAAAGCCTTTTAATTACCTATGGTCAGCCCTGAAAAATCACATATAGAGTTATTATTATTATATCACTGAATTTTCGTACACATGTAGGTTTTTTTAACTAGGAGTCACACTCCTCTTTGGAGTTTGGAAGCTCAGACAAAATTACAAGCCAAAATTTCCTTCCTATAAAGAGTAAATTCAAACCTAGTTAAAAATCTCAAGAAAACTGCAGGAATAAAGCTATTACTTTATTACAATCCAGTCTTTAAGGAAAACATGACTTTAATTCCATTTTCACTGAACTGCATAGATAACTGACATTTTCTATCTGCAGAGACAGTTCAAAATACAAGTGGAGAAAGATAGCGTGTGAGAAATTGCATGCACGATGAACTCAATATATCCCTCATATTTAAATTTTTAGTATAATCAAATAATTCTGAAACTTTTATAAGGAATCATGACAGAGAATTCATAATTAAAATATTAGAATTCCTTTTATATCCATTGTGACATTAATATAATTAATTCTAAGAAATGATTAATTTCCCCTCAAAGCAGGATTCTAAAAGAATGTCGTTACTTGAAGATCTTGCTTGTTCTTTTAATTTTTCATTATAAAGAATTTATTTAAATTGTATATTATCTACAATGAGGTATTTGGATTCAGAATGTTCTAGTTAAGATACAACATTTATTTCTTCATCCTTAATAGCTAACATTCAAAAGGAATCACTTCAAAACAACAAATAATACAGATAGACTATATCAGGCAATATAAAGGCAAAGTCTAAGAAATATAATGTCATAGACTATAATGAGTCCAACAGGAAAGGGAAAGGAAGAATAAGACAAGGAAATATAATTAATAATTTTGTTATGTGATGAGTTAAATACTGCTAAAGAGGTCATTTAAAGGAATCATCTAAACATGGAGTTGTAAAGATAAAGACAAAAACGGACTCAAATCTTCATGGTTGTGATAAGAAAAGCATACAGGAAAAAAAAAGAAAAAAACTACACAATCAGCTATAAAACAGGGACTAGAGAGATGGCTCAGTAATTAAGAGCATTTACTGCTCCTCCAGAGGACCCAGGCTCAATTCCCAACACCCCCATGGTGGATAACACCCATCCTTAACCCAAGTTTAAGGGAATGATGCTCTCTAGAGCACCAGGCACACACATGGTACACTTACATACATGCAAGCAAAACACTTATACATATAAAATAAAATTTTTTTAAAAAATAACAAAACATGGGACATGGTGGCACATGCCTTTAATCCCAGGATTTGGGAGGCAGAGGCAGGTGGATCTCTGTGAGACCAAGGCCAGCCTGGTCTACATAGTGAGTTCCAGGACAGCTGGGGCTATAGGGAGGCCCTGTCTCAAAAAGACCAAAAAAATAAATAAATAAAAATGCAGCTGGGCATGGTGGTGTACTTCTTTAATCTCAGCACTGGGGAGGCAGAGGCAGGCAGATCTCTATGAGTTCAAGACCAGCCTGGTCTTCACAGTGAGTTCCAGTCCAGCTGAAGCTATAGGGAGACCCAGTCTTAAATAGACAAAAATAAACAAAGACAAAGCAAAATAAAAGCTATGAAACAAAATATTGTAAAATAATTCAAATGTAAACAAACATCTGACACCAATAAATGCTAAGCTCATCTACTAAAGTTCTTTTTTAAATTGATTATTTTTATTATGAGCAAATTCTGTTACATTCAAGAGACTCAGCTTCAGCAAAGTGACTCAGGTAGGGTATAGACCAGACAAATAACTCAGCAGGTAAGGATGCCTGCCACCAGTTTTAACAACTTGAGTTCAATCCCCAGAACCCACATGGCAAAGGAGAGAACAGACTCCCAAAAATTGTCCTCTGACCTCCACAGGTGTACCCTGACCCCTAACCCCAGTAAATAAATGTAAAACTAAATAAAAATGTAAAATAAACAAATAAAAGGAGAGGCAAAGGTATGCTAGGCAAATGCAAACCTCCCTCCGCAAAGGGAACCATGATCAATCTCAGACAAGGTTGAATTTTTTTTCTTTATTATTTTTATTTTATGTGTATGAGTGTATTACCTGCATATAAGTGCACCCATGTCATACAGTGTCCATAGAGGCCAGAAGAGGGCATCAGATCCCCTGAAACTGGAGTTAGGGACAGTTAGCCACCATGTGGGTGCTGGGAATTGAACCTGGGTCCTCTGCAAGAGCAGCCAGTGCTCTTAACCACCGAACCTGTTCTCCAGCCCCAAGGTTGAATTTGAGACAAAAAGCATTCAATGAAACCAAGAATGGCACTTTAATGACAGGGGACAAAACAGAGTAATCAAAAGGCCTACAGAAGAAAATCAGCATAGACATCCTCCTGCTCAGACTGTGCTGGAATCATAAATGTGTACCACTGTATCTAAACAATAACTTACAATGTATAAAGGAGTATTACAAAGGTGTGTATGAGACCAGGCCTGGTGGCAAACACATTTAATCCCAGCACTCGGGGCCTATTGGACCATACCTTTATTTGGTACATGTTAGTCAAATAAACAGGGTTTCCAGAAGAGAAGGAGCGCCTAAGGAATAATTGATGATAAAGTTAGATTGCCAATTAACTGAAGCCTGGATTACCAAAAAGACTTGTGTCTTTGATTCATTTCACTCTGCAGCAAGTGAAAGGGAACTTGGTTAGGCTGCAGGCCTGCATCTCTGAGCTCCGTATGTTACAAAGAGAAGGTTGTTACAGACCTCAGCACACTTGTCTGTCCCTGGCAGTCAAGGATGGGCTCCAGCAGTTCAAGCAGTACAGCAGACATATGTCCACAAGTGTTGCTCTTCCTTGCACGTCTCTGGAGGTAAGAGATACTGGTTTTCGGGCATGACACCATTTTCCTATTTCTGTCTATATTGATGTTTTGTTGCTTACTATCTTTACGCTCTGTTTCATATGCATTGAATGTAATTTTCTTTTTTTCTTTTTTTTAGTTTTTATTTTTTATGTGTATGAGTGTATTATCTGCATGTGTGTAAGTGCACCCATGTCGTGTAATGCCCACAGAGGTCAGAAGGTGTTGGATCCCCTGGAACTGGAGTTGTGGATGGTTGTCAGCTGCCATGTGGGTGCTGAGAGTCAAACCCGGGTCCTCTACAAGAGCAGCCAACTGCTCTTAACTGCTGAGCCATCTCTCCAGCCCGTGAATGTACTTTTCAAGGCTAGATTTTCATCTCCAATAACCTACTCAGTTTTTATTTTCTCAACCAATTGTGTCTTATTTTCTTTTACCACACAGTTTTCAATTACTAGCCCAATGGAAGGAGAATGGCAACATAGATAACTTGGAAATAACTTTGAGTTTCTTTTTTTTATAAGATTTATTTTTATTTTATGTGTGTGTGTCTGTGTGTGTGTGTGTCTGTGTGTGTATCTGTGTGTGTGTGTGTGTGTGTGTGTGTGTGTGTGTGTATAGACATACACTCATGCATGGGTGCCCATATAGGCCCAAAGAAGGTGTCAGCCAGATCCCTGGAACTGGAGTTACAGGTAGTTGTGAGTTGCCTGACATGGGTGTTGGGAACTGAACTAAGACTCTCTGGAAGAGCAGCAAGTGCTCTTAACTGCTGAGTCATCTCTCTAGCCCCACCTATTCAGTTCTTAATGGGCATCAAAAGAAACTAGAATACAGGGATTGAAGTGAACTATAAGCAAATGCTGGAAGATTAGCAAATGTTAAAACTGATGCTTTTCTGGTGCCAGACAGAGACAATATAAATTAGTTAAGCACATGGGCACATTAGTGAATGTGAGTTAAAACAGTCGGTTTTGGTAACCTCAGGCAGCAACATGAGTTGGAAAATACAGTGTGGGACTTTTGCCATCCAGTTTCACATGTAAGGAGGGCAGAAGTCCCTACTTTATCCTAACAACTATTAAAATGCTTTGCAAAGTGAAAATCAACAACTCTATTTAGATGCCAAGGAGAAACAAAGTCATAGGGCAAATCACTGCTTCCAAAACTAGATAGCTAGCTGGGCTGACCCAGAGGATCCCAGCATACTGAAGCAGAACATCCATGAGAGGTAGGGTTGGGGTAAGAGAACCTAAACTTTAATTACTGAAGACTAGCTGAAGTCTGAAAGTTAAATACTCCAAGGGGACCCAGCCCTGCAGGGGTGGCCCACCTCTGAGTTCAACCAGGCTCTCATAATACATCAGGGAAAAACTCCCTCGTGCCTCAGATTGAAGAGGGGAAATGCAACCATTTGGAAATACACCCCCACAGTTCTGTTCTCTCCAATAAGTTCTGCCCTCAGGAGAACCCAAACAGAGCCCAACCTCCTAGGGTTTAATTAGACTTAACTGACCTGGGGGACAAGAGATAGCAGACTCTGCCAGGTGTGGTAGCACACACCTTTACTCCAAGCACTCTAGAGGCCGAGGCAGGCAGATCTCAGTGAGTCCAGTCTGGTCTACATAGTGAGTTCCAGGCCAGCTATAGCTGGAGGGAGACCCTGTCCCAAAAAGACAAAAAAAAGGCAGACTCAAGCCGGCTATAGCCTTCCACATAGAAGGGAAGCACCAACTCCAGTCTCCTCTAGACACTATGTTTTACCTAAACAGGAAAAACACTGAGAAATACTTGTGAAGTTTATAGTCCAGAAGCAACTTCTCTTGAAGACTGGGAAGTAATAACCATAATTTTTTTTTTATTTTACAAGCATGTTTGTATACAATTCATTAAACTTATTTTGTTATTTTAATATAAAATAATAGCATAGAAAGTTTCCTCCCCCCTTCCCACACATACCTCACTACTACATTTAAAAAGCCAATTATAGAAGTTTCTTTGGCTCAGTAGAATATCAAGAAAACATCACAAGGCAGAATACAAGGCAAAAATTGCCATTTTAAGTTAAAGTAGGCATTAGAGCTAGACATGGCAGGTATGTTGGAATTATCTGACTGAATTATTTATTTATTTACTTATTTTTGGTCTTTTTGAGACAGGGTCTCTCTGTAGGCCCAGTTGGCCTGAAACTCATTATGTAGACCATGCTGGCCTCAATCTCACCAAGATCTACCTGCCTCTGCCTCCCCAGTGCTGGGATTAAAGGTGTGTGCCACCACGCCTGGCTTATTTATTTATTTTTGAGACTGGGTTTCACCATGTTGTCCTAGATGGCCTGGAACTCAAAATGTAGACCAGGTTAGCCTCAAACTTGCAGCAATCCTCTTGCCTCTGCCTCCCAAGTGCTGAGATCACAGGTGTGCACCACCACACCTGACATTAAAAGAACAAAGAATAATATGCTAACAGAGAGCAGGGTGTGGTGACCCTCTCCTGTAATCCCAGCACTCAGGAGGATGAGGCAGGAAGACCAACTGAGCAGAGATACAGCCAGGGGCTGTATCACAGTGGGCCAGAAAACAAAAACAAAACCCACTCAATCAGCAGACACAGGCCTGAAGCTGAGAATCCGGTGGTCTCCTGGAGTGAACACCCCCGAAGGACGCACTCGGCCACTACCTGTACAAGTAGTGCAGGAACAGAGGCACAATGTTGAGTTTACCACAGTTGGCCAGATCCACAGGATCAGCACACACTACCTGGCCTGGTCTGAAGCTAACGCTGAGGCTATGTGAGCTGGTGCCGACCAGCCAGAGTCCCGGTAAGACACACATTTCCAGAAAACAGTAAATAGCCGGGGCTTGAGTAGTCTAAGACAGGGAAGTGTAACCATCCAGCACTTGTGGAACAATGATGGGTGGAAACTCCCAGAAAGCAGCATTCCATGCTGAGGGCTCGGGGAAGAAAAATCGAGGAAGGGCTGACACCTACTGGGGATTGAGCAGAAACAACTCAACCCAAAAGGTACTGAGCAGAAACAACTCAACCCAAAAGGTACTTGGTTTGCACTCCACTGCATACCCACAAACCTTGGGGGAGGGGGCTGTTTGTTTTGATTTGGTTTTTGGTCATTTTTGAGACAGGGTCTCCCTATACCCCAGATGGCCTGGAACAGGCTATGTAGGCAAGGCTGGCCTCCATCTCTCAGAGATCTGCCTGCCTCTGCCTCCCAGAGTGCTGGGATTTGAAGGTGTACTCTACCATACCAGGCTCACAAACCCATCTTACAGGTTTGAAATGGAGCTTTAAACCCTCAAGTTCCCCTGTAGCACAGTTTGCTACAGGATACATCACAAGAAGGGGAAATGCAAAACCCATCCCACCAAGGAAGAAATCTTGACTGATGCTGTATTTTCTATCTACTTGTGCGTGTGTGTGTGTGCGTGTGTGTGTGTGTGTGTGTGTGTGTGTGTGTGTGTGTGTGTGTAGGTGGTAGTGGTACTGTAACCCAGGCTAGATACACTAGGCTTGTGCTCTACCACTCAACTGTATCGCCAGCCTCATTTCACCTATTATTTATTTATATCTTCTGACATATATAGATACCTTTTAATGACCTTGCTATAGTTTTTATGTTGCTTAATTTTAAGAATTCTGTTTATATTTCTGCACCCATAATATTGTGTTCCCCTACCATTCTTCCTACATACAACCCATCTGCACTCCCTCATTTCCTACCTCATTTCCTTTCTCTTTCCCCTTCCCTCTTTCTACCTCTTAACTATTGCTTTCTATGGCTTTAATAATCTTTAAACGCTATTGATCTTAACAACATCCCATCTTCCTCCTTCCATTTGTTTTTCTTCTCCTCAATCTTTTTCTCAGTTGATCTAATACCAACTGCTTTCCTTATTCAGCCTATTTCCCTTCCATTCCTAACCTTAGGAATATACATGATACTATCCTTGATTTTTTTTTATATCCCAATAGTTATTGAAGACAAATGGATGACTGCTTTAAACTATTGTATGTGCACACTGGGCCTAGTCAACATTTGTGATTGCTTCTGCAGTTGATATTCTACTCTTTGAGTGGTGTTAGGGGTAGTGTCCAGCACCCTGAGCACATAGACTGAGGGTTTTGCTACTGAATTACACCACCACCAGTCCTCTGGGGAGGAATGACACCTCAATCCTACTATAACATGATCTCACTTGAACATTGCAAATACTTCAACTGAAAGAATACAGCTGATTTTTTAAAAATCCAATCAATTAAATAACCTTAGATGCACAAGTCCCAATACGGAAGTACAAGAAACATGAAAAATCAAGGCAGTGTGACCCCTTGGAAAAATGCTAATTCCGTAAGCCGTCTTTTTATTGTCTTACTATTACCTGACTTCAATATCATAAAACAAGTGTGTAGTATTTTTTAAAAAAAGAAGAATCCTTGGAGCTGGAGAGATGGCTCAACAGTTAAAAGCACTGACTACTCTTGCAGAGGACCCAGGTTTGATTCCCAGTACCCACCTTGCAGCTGACAGCCTTCTCTCTCCAGTTCTAGGGGATCCAATGCCCTTTTCTGACCTGGAGAGAACATTGCACAACACGGGGGCACCTACCTACATGCAAGTGTTACATTCATACACATAAAATAATAATTTTTTTTGTCTTTTTGAGACAGGGTCTCTCTGTTGCCCCAGCTGTCCTGGAACTCACTATATTTTCAGGATATTAAGTCTGTAGAACTAAGGTCTGCCCCAGGAAGACCAACAGGAACAATGCTTTTCGACTTGATAGTTGCAGCTTCAATCAGTGTTTTTACACAAATACTAAATTCATAAAGCACCAAAACTTATTTCAGCACGCATCCATATTTGAGCATTTAGTAACCCTGAACAGAAAGTGAGAAATGGAACAATGTGCCATGAAGCTAGGCCCATGGGTCTAAAAAACAATGTGATACTCAGCTCTGGCTTCCTGCTAAGGGTCTGAGGAGCAGCAACC